TGATTTCTGTTCAGTGAGTGCGTGTGCCCGAGGGTTCAATTTATGAAGGGGAACGTTAATTTGAGGGGGAACTCTTCAGCGGCTTGAGTCAGCAGCTCATACTGTTAAGGCTCAAGACACATTTACACACTGCCTAATCAGAAACACGGTCCCTCGTCGAAGATGGGGATGGTAGTGTAGAAAAATCATCAACCTCGTAAGACCTCTCAGTCGCAAAAAGTGCCGTTTGATTCTGTCACTCTCCATATTTTCCGATAGCTAACTTTTAGTTATAAAAGCACAGCAGCCCAGCTGTGCAGCCGCACCTCCAAACCCCAACATCGCTGCAGTGCCCCTCCCAATTTTGAGCATTCTTCAAAGTTGAGCCAGAGGTGGAGTTATCTGAAAACAGTGGGGTGTAGTAACTCTTTAAAGGTGCAAAGTTTGGCTAGTGTGTAGTTTGTATAGCAAGTATGTTAGCTAGTGTAGCTAATCCAGTTGTACACTCTTAAAAAAGATGGTTCTCCAAGTAAATGGAACGTTCTACTTAAAACCATGCTTAAATGGTTCATTTCCACACTCATGGAATAAGTTCTTCAGAGTGATGAAAAACATGTGTAGTTCTAGGTGAAAGCTTTTTGAAAATGGTTCTACATAGCACCAAATATTGTTCCTCTACTGTTACAAGCTTGACATCATAACTATATATAACCATATGACACATTCTCCATCACTCTGAATAACTACTTAAGCATGGACGGTACTTCATATTAACTTTACTATGGAACACTTGAAGAACCTTTTTAGTTACAGTATGTTTTAAAGGAACTTAAACTTCAGCTAGATTAGCTTGTGCACTAGCTAGCATGCTTGCTAACCAAATACATACATGCTAACGAAGCAATTCAAGTTGTTTCAAGTTTTTTCTATAATGAAAGGATTTGAAGTGGCATTGAACTTGAGAGAGAACAGCATTGCAGTAAGGACGCATTACCGTAGCAATACTGACTAAGTCTTTAGTCTCGAATCTCAGCTGAGTCATGACTCATGTGTCCTCATCTCTGATCCAATGTGTGGATGTGCACACCAAAAGAATCTGTGATGACTGGTCAGGATGCTCTCCGCACACAGCAAAGTTTAAGTGATTGGTTAGAGGCTCATCTGTGAACTGCACACTTCTGCAATATTAGTATTGCAAAGGCAGATGTTGTGATAACGATTTGTGAGTGATATACTGTACATCCCCAGTATGCGTGTATAAACTGGGCTTTCTATGCAGCAGTTAAGTAGTTTTATGTCTTGTATTTATCTAATCCAGAGACACAGGCCTGTTTATGTTGCAGGCCGCATTGCTGCAACCCCTCGGATAGCTACTTTTGAGATCTTAAGCTTGGCTGTCCAGTATTATTCAGGTTCTGCCAGGAGGATAAATCATGTGTTGCCATGGGAAGAGAATTTCTTGCTCAGACATCAAACTGTAATTAATTGGCAGTGAGCTTTCCAGCACACATTCGCCTAGAATGAAAAAGCAGGGAGAAAAAAAGAAATAAATATATAAAATATGGAAATTGGGCAGGGTTTCAAACAAAAGCTTTGCCTCAGAGAAGGCTCTATATTAGGGGACATATATATAATATATATATATATATATATATAATATATATATATATATATACATATACACACATCTATATTAGTGACTCAACACTCAGCTGACGCCCACTTTCACCTCCACATTGCACTTAATCGAGGTATGATGGTGCCGAGTCAGGCCTGTAAGGTGGGTCAAGCGAAGCCAATTAGCCACATTTCCTCTCATCATCAGCCAAAACGCTCCTTTCAGCATGTTCAAGCAGTAGCTAGGTTACCGCCTGGGATGATGGATATTTAGTGATGAGGTGTCACAAGCCTCTAAGAAGCAATGTGCAGGTTGTGGGAATGATGTGGTACATAATAGCTCAAACAGAAGGTGGTAGGATATTTTAAGATTTTAGATTTCTCGATGCTAATCATGACCACAGGCAATGGTAAATCAGGCCTCCTGCTTTGCTTGGATTTACTGCAAGAAAATGACTGATTCAAGCAACGAAACACATTTTGACACACATTTTTTCACACTCTGTTTCATGTTTTACCGCTTGTATACAAGTTTTACAAAAAAAAACTCCAAAACACCAAAGCACTCCAAAGCACATGCTTTATAATTGATCGTTTAACTGAACTTTCAGCTGCCCCACCCAGTTAGCATCCGTAGCGCCTGTGCTAATAAATTGAAAGTTCAGAAACAGAGGAATTAAGAAGCACACAGATTAAAATAATTTTTTATTCAAAAATTAACTGACTCTACAAGATGTTCAGTGCAGACATACATGTTTGAGAACTGACAAAAATTGTAGGCCAATTTAAAGCAAAAAACAAAAAAAAACAAAAAACAAAAATCTGGCAACCACGTTTACATAAAACAAAACCCAGGGAAATCTTCCTGTCACAGATTTTCATGTATAATAGGGAAAAAGTTGGAGTAATTGAAGCTGCACTGAGCTAATGCTAAAGCTAATGTTAAAGCTAACACTGGAGATACGAATTGTAATATTGCTGTAACTTTAATGTTATTAAGACATGACATTAAAATGAACATTAGCAAATACAGCCTAGCTTACATTGGACCTGAAGTAACTTGTGTGCCCTCATGGAAAATTATTTTTTAGAAACCTTGCATGTTATTTTCTCACACTGTGATCACATGTTCTCATGGTGTTACATGTGTCGACCTGTGAACACTTCTTGTGTGAGGGTGGTAACCTCTGAGTTTGGTGAGCCAAACTTTTTCAGCTTTGAAATGACCAGTAGCTTCTTTTCATCTATCGTAGCCTTGTATTTAATTTACTGCCACCTCCATCATCACTACAGGCTTGTTTTGAGCATTTCCTTCGCTTGACAGAGAAAGTAGTGCTTAGAAATGGTTGTGATCTACTAAGACGCGTGTCAATCATTGTGATTTCTTCCTTCCCAGAAAGGCAGTTCCTTCACAACTGGCTTGGTGTCATGCAACTCCGTAACAATGTCACATTCCACGGAAACAAATTTGGCAAGCAGACTGCCTCAGCTAGCTCAGCTTTAATATTAACAAAGTTATACTGTGTTGTTACACTTAACACTTGTAAACATTAAGCTCAACCTGGTTTACAGTTTTTTAAATTATTTAATAATTTATGCTTTTATATGTTCATTCAGTTAGAATGACTTGTGGCTAGTTATACAACAGTTAGTTCCGACCATACAATTTGCTTATGCAGGCTATCAGATGACAGCATTTTTTTAACATAAAAAAAATAATTTGATCATTTTCAGTGGTAAAAGTATACTGTAATGATTTATCTGAAATCACAATTGAGTCCGTTGAGATGCCTCAATTGTCAACTACAATTTTTTTGGGAATTATTGTTGATGAGAGTCTGAGTTGGAGAGAACAAATAGACCGAGTTAGCAGAAAACTAAAGAAATCTATTGGTATGATAAGGAGGGTTGGTCATCTGGTCAACACAAACTGTTTTCTTACTCTTCATTCTAGTCTAATTTATCCTTATTTTTCATATTGTTATATATTTAGGCGAATTCCTTTTTTCACTACTCTTCACCAAATTTGGGTCCTTCAGAAACTGTTAGCATTGCAACCCGATCAGATTTATACGTGTCATCTATTTCAGAAACTTCATATTCGTACTATTTATGATATTAATATTTTTCAAATAGGTGTTTTTATTTAAAAGACACATTCGAGTGAAGGGAATATTCCAGAGCAGGTTAAAAGATATTTGACAGCAAATTCAGAGGTTCATTCATATTCAACTCATCAATCTAGACCTTCATCCTCCTAAATTTCTCACTTGTCAGTTTTCAGTAAGAATTAGGGGCAATCAAATATAGTCTAGCCTTTCCCATTTGGCAAAAATTGTTCTTCTTTAAAATATTACAAAAGATGTTTAGAAGACCATTTAATATCTGTACCATAGTTTTGTTGTCTATATATCTATTTGTTTTATTTATTGTGCTATATATATTATTACCATTCCTATTACAATGTGCCTCATTTACCAATGTCTTCCTAATTTTCTTCTTAAATGTGTTCTTGAGGAAGGTCCTGAGAAAAAGTCTACGTCACATACGATTCATGACGTGTTCTTAAAGCACAAAACTGTTCACACCTTTGTACTTTTGAGTGTGTGTAGATTCTGTTCTTACCCAAGAACAAATCCCAAATAAGAAAACTCTCGTGAATGTCAGAATCTTCGCAAAAACTGTGTAAGTGGGCCTTAAAAAGAAATTTCTTCCTAAAAACAGTTGGAGAATGAGGCCCAGTGTTTCGACCGTACTGGTATCATTACACTGACCCCGGGCTGGTCATTACACAGCAAGCCATTTGTGGCAGTACTTTTTTGTTGGAAGAAATTGGCAATATTACAGACATATTTGCATAAAAACCTGGAGTGATACAGACGGGACTACCAGTTAAAACACTTGCGTGATAGAACATGTTTGGAAGGATTAGAACGCCTCTTGCTCAATCAAATTACTCGACTGAAAGTACTCTCAAATTTCGATTTATTGATGTTCTAGATAAGTAACAGCTGCACGGAAAGTGTTTTCACTTTCAACTAAACTGAGTGATCAGTTATACTGGAGACAGTAAACCTCTGCTTAGTGATACATTTCCTTTCATTTTTCAGTTAATCTCTTTCACCTATTGTCTATTACACCATATTAAAAGATGGGAAAACATACAGTATCTGTATAAGGTCAGTATCTGTGTGCTAAGCTCAGTGAAAGCTGAGTAATTATCAGCCACAGTGACTCATGCTTGTGTTAAGTGGAACATAAAGCTTTAGTGGTACTATTGCACCATCTGCTGGTCATTACTGCCCATGACAACTGAAATCTTGAGTTATTGCTACATCTACAGGCTTCACAGCAGCCCTCCACACTGAGCTGACCACCAACAGACAAAAACCAGACACCTTAAATAAATAACAAGATAAATAATCTTTATTTCCATGTCTTTTTCATATATATAAAATTATGTATCCACAATTAATATTACCAAGGCAATGCAGAGATTCCATTCTCAGTAGTGGATACAAGGCTCCAGAAGCTGCTCGACAGAAATTGCGCATGCAGTAGGTACAGGGGTGCCAGGTCCATAAATATGAACCTACTCTGGATGGTTTATTTCCCTGATGCCAGAAGATGCCAAGAGAAGAACCATGCCACTGTCTACAGCGGAGAAATCAGATAAATGAATAATTAATCAGCATCAACTGATCAACGAATGACTAAAATATTAATAAATAGATTAAGATGTAAACTCCTCACAAACCCGCAAAACTAATACACAACTAAAGTCGTGCGCCTCTGAAGCCTCTGTACCCACCCCAAGCCCTTCAAAATGTACAGACATGAAAAAACTTCATTACCCAGCATTCATCACTGGACATTGCTCTGTGTAAACCGCAATCCATTCCCGAATCAGCCCCTACTTACTTTCCCTCGCCACGTCCGGCTAGGGGACAAAAAATTCATGTTGAGTTCAACGTTTCGTATCACACCTTGTTTAAGAGAGTTACATGTGGTTCCTTTGTTAAGTCTATGTCAGGTGGAAGGTATTAGCTTATATTTACAAGATGATGTACCATTTTAAAATGAAAATCCCTGCATCGTTGACTTTCCCGAACATGTACTGACTACAGGAAGTGAATAGGGCCTGGATTCATCTGGGAAAACAAACAAAATTCTCAGATAGATATTCTTAAACCAAATTACAATTACTGTAAAAAAAAAAAATCCTCAAATATTATTAGCATGATTCTTATCTTTATTTTACAATGTTTCAACCCCAAAACTTAAGTAAAAGACAAAAAAACTCCAACAACCTTTAAAAACAAACAGTAACAATTAATAAGCACCCTCTGCTATTTCCACAAACCGAACAAAATCCTCTGATGCAACGTCCTTGGGCAGGAAAAAAAAAAAGTCTGACTCAGTTCTTTAGCTGTCGGTAAATAGGTTTCATTTTAAGTGAGTTAATATTTAAAAAAAATTAAATATTATATACTGTATAGGTTATTAATTACAGTAACAAGGTTCCATGCAATCTTATTTTTTTTCCTGTACAGATTTTCAAGAAGATCAGTAGTAATTAGCAAGGCTGTATGAGCCCACATTTTCTGTTGCTTGGACTGCCAGTGGTTTCTGTAGCCACGGTGATGGAAGGAGGCCTCATTATTGCCTTATGTCAGTATGCTGGGTTTAGAGTTACATGGTCACTAGAAAGATGTCATCATCAAAGAACTCTGCGGACGAGGCTTGATGGTCATCGTAAAAGTCCTGCTTCAACCTGAAGAGCATCCACAAGCTCTCAATTCAAGCCAGAGCAAATGTGATCACTGACAGTGCACAGAGTAAGCTGAAATCACTGAACTGTCGGACGACACTGACCGTTACTGACATAAGAAAAATGGCCGCCAACACACTGTAGGCTACACATCTCACGTAAAACATCTGCCACAAAGATAAGTGCTTCAGAACTGGACAGAGACAGGACAGATATTAGACAACATCTCCCAAAGTTAGCGAAGTTCAAAGTTCATAGTGGCACACAGGCAATGGAATTAGCTCGTATGCTAATTCTCTACACGCACTGGCCCATATCAACAGACAGTGAGGGAATATTATACCCTTCCTGACAGCAAAACGGACAACCTAAACCGCCTGGGTTCGTTCAGTCAAACACATTATTATTACTACTATTATTTCTTTGAAAAAATAAACAACGAGTAGCCAAGTTAATCAAGATTGCCAAAGCACTGGTGGTGACAAGCCCCTCAACATTTAAAGCGGTGTCGTATGGTGGCCCGCTTAAATGTTCCGCTGCTTTTTCAAGTCCTGGAGACGACATTCAGCGACTATGAAATGAACCGGTTGAGTGGAACTCGAGATGGAAATAAAAGCGAAGGAAAGCATGAGGAGAGAAAACGGTCGTACGATTAAAATACGTAAACAAAAGGGGGTTCGGCTCGAGCTGCCTAGCTGTGGGCCGGAGAGCGCGAAGAGGAGCGACATTCACAAAGTATTAAAGAAGGAGAAGAAAGTGAAGGTACATTCATGTAAGACTCCTTTGCTGGGTGTGTGGAGTATATATGTGTGTGCTCGCACATGCGTGAGTAGACTATCTTAACATAAACGGCTTCAGATAACGTTACGCATCAAAACTGTTACTAAGGTTGCTTGCTAAGTAGGCTAATGCTTGGAGCGGTCTTAATTACCAGGATTCCCTTGGTGCTCTACTTTCTTCACAGACTTCCTCTTTTTCCTCTTCCTCTCACTAAATCAGCCGTTAGTCATCCGTAAAACTGCTCCTTATAAATATTTGAGTAAACTGAATTCTTAAACTGCTCCGTGTTGGAAATGCTAGCAGCTCCTGTTGACTAGTGTTCCTGTGAAATTAGTACAATGTGAACGGAGAGAAAGAGAAAGAGAAAGAGAGGGAAAGCACATGTTAGAAGCGCTAATAGACTGTACATTTTCAGAGAGTCAGATCAGGAGCAAACGCCCTGAAAGCAGTAAAGCACAGCAGAGCTATTCACATTTATCTACTAGGGCCATGCTAGTGCTGCTAGATGCTAGTACTGAATCAGCTAAAACTGCATGCTCATCTGTGAGCTCTTGGCTAGTTTGCCCACTCCATTAAAAAAAGGTTCAGTCAGAAATGCAGAAGCTAACAGCGAATGAACGCGAATAGCCACCAGTTAGCGTCAGGCAAATTCATTTATGCTAACTGGTTACTAGTTTTCATTCATTATTCCTGTTAGCATATTTAGTTGGGCTCCTCCTTTAAAACATGTTCAACCGGGATGCAAATGAAATTATGCCAAACGGTGCTTAGTAGCCTCCAATTTAGTTGAGCTACTCCTTTAAACCATGGCTACATGTAATTTGGTGAACTTGTGTGTAAACTTTATCAATACGTTCTGCCTACACATTCATTTGATGAACCTCATCAGCCTCTGCCTCCCATCTTCAGTTTTTTTTTTTAGAACCTGTTGCTGGTGCTGCTTGTTAGTGCCACTTTTTTCACTAAGTTGAGCATCTTTATGTGGTATCTGGACTACTGACCTAGCTATCCTCCATGTTCTTTCGTAGCAACTGCTGCGAGATTGTACAAGCTTCACAAAACATTGGCAAAAAATCTAATTCAACCGAATAAGACATTGTAGCATAAATGTCAAACTACCTAAATTTAGAGTGTGTTATTAATTTCAAATATACTTGTGAAAAATCACACTGTTAGATGGGTCATACTTTCTGTAGTCTTATAATCAAGCCTATTAGGGGTAAACATTTGATTGACAGTCACAGCCGAAAGTTCATTAGCTTCCGCTGTTTTAACCTTGCTGACTAGCTAAGTTAATGTTGTAGCCTATATTTCCAGGATATGCTGCATGTTACTCTATGACAGCGGTCACAAACCCTCCTCCTGGAGATGAACTTTCCTGTGGGTTTTACTTCCACCCAAATCTAACACACCTGATCTGTCTAACAAAGGAACATCTAAAGGCAACAACTAGATCAGGTGGTCGATTAGGGCTACAGTCAAAGACTGCAGGAAGGTAATTCTCCAGGCGGGGGTTTGGTGACCACTGTTCTTTGGCATGTACTGACACTATTTTCCTCAGTGTACTTGCCATATATGGGCATATTCCCATTTTATGTCCAACGTCCAGTTCCACCCACTAGCTAAGTTTCTCCCAATTCTCAAGATGGCAGAGTGAAGGCTGGCGCATGCTTCCACCTAATCACATGAAGCCAGCTGCTGCTAATGATCAGACAGCTCAACACACTTGGAGGAGAACGCTAAGATGCCCGTGTTGGTGCCGTATATTGGAAGGAGAAGAAGAACCACCCTATACATACAGAGAAAGAGAGCCAATTATGCTCTCACCCGGGAGCCCCTACAGTGTTATCTGTCATGCGCATACCTATCTAAAGGTAGGTACTCTGACAAAAACTAAGCTGTGTGGTACAGTTTTTTCATTAGGTTGAATGCAATTTTTTGCCAAAGTTCTGTCCAGCTTTGTTATGTACTTTACTGATCCTACAAGGGGAATTTGTATTTTTGGTGCCAAGTCTGGGGGCACCACAGCATTGTCAGGGACAACGGAGGGGGTTAAGACCCTTGCCCAAGGGCACAACCAGGTATACCCAGTTTGTTCTTGGATTTGAACTCACAACCTTTCGGTTGCTTGCTTACCTCTTCTACCACTAGGCTACCGGCCACCCCATGTACTGGCCAGCTATCTCTCAACAATAGCTACAAAAGAACATTTGTGTGCAGGGCATGAACAGGTGAATTCTGGGAATCTGATGAGATGATACAGGAAGATGAAGCAAGAGAGAGTGAGTGAGACAGTCAAGTATGAACAAGCGAGACCACTCGGTCAGACTGGCCTTGTCCGTTCATGCTCACAGTCACATAGACACATACAAACACATTCACACGCCACACAGTGAGATGTCCAGATGGTGTCTCGATCCTCTTCCTCCATCTCCCATGGCTCTCTTCAGGACTGAACAAGCTGTCCATCTGTGGCCTGAATGTCCTCCAAAGGCCCTGATTCCCAAAGTAAAACCCAACATCAGGACCTTAACCTTTGACTGTGGCCTCTCCCCTCTCTGCTCCCCAAGCTCCAGTTATTGCACTAGTATCTACAGCACGAGTGGAAGCCAAGAAGCCGTATAAAAAGAAGCAACAAGAATCCCTAAATAACTTTAGCTGCTTGTCACGCAACGTTGCGTGACCGGGGTCGTGCTTGTGCTGACATGCAACCACACACACGCACACACACATACACACGCACACCAACAAGCCCTGCTCGTTTCTAGTGGTGGCTGGACATGCAGGGAATTTATTTTAAAGAAGCAAAAAGGAGTCTGAGGTGCCCGAAACGCAAAGGCAAGAAGGGAAGGGGAGCTTGTTTGAGTGTATGTGTGTGTATCTGTATCCGTGTGTGTGTGTGTGTGCGCATGTGCTGAAGGAGTTGTCCTAGAATTTCAGCTGCCGACTCTTCATATACCTCTCCTCCTCTTCACCTACAGAACGAAAGAAGAAAAAAACAAGATCAATGTCCACAAGAATACACCATGTGAGTGTGAGAGAGAGAGAGAGAGAAAGAGAGAGAGCAGGCGTAGGAGTAAAGCAAGGGAGAGGAGTACCTTTTCAAAGAGATGGGAGGAGAGAGTTACGCTGCAGCAAGAAAAAAAGAGAGAAAAGAGAGATACAAAAAACAGCTGAGTGGATAAGAGAGATAGCAGAAGAGTTAGTACTAGGGCTGCACTGATTAGTCAAAACCAACTTCAACTCATTGTTTCTGTGATGTCACAAGAACCACCTCATTCAGAAATATCCTGCAGCACCCACTCATATTGAAGTTTTAGGGTAGGGGTTGCCTGGAGATCTACCAGCCTGCAGAGTTTAGCTCAGACATTAATCAAACACACCTGATCCAAGTAATGAATGCTTTCAGGGGCATCTGAATATTAAAGCTAGGTGTGTTGGATCTGAACTCCCCAGGATGGTAGATCTCCTGGACCAGGATTGAGCGTCCCTGTTCTAAGGGGTATTACAGCTTTGAGTGCTTTTTGAATGAGGCACAATACAGAGCAGCCAATCAGAACAGAGCTCATTTACCTTATTTTAGTCTTAAAGGCACAGTAACAAAAACAGCCTGTGTAATCGTAATGGAATAAGAGAGGTTGGAAAATGGCCATGTAAAAATTAATTATGGTCATTTTCGGCACCATAACTTGTGTGGTGTGTTCTTTCGAGGGGGTCAGTCAAACTGCTTTTCAGCAAATATAATGTTGCCTGTCAGAAACTAAAGAAACTATACTGCTAGCTAAAGTTAGCTGTTCACTATAAAATCCTGTCGCATCAGAAACACCTATAATTGCCTGTGTTTTGCTCCACCCCAGAGACGAAAGTATGGTATTATCATGGCTCATCTCGTTTGCCATTGGACAAGTTCAGAATGTAGCCACCTATTTAACTTAATGAGTTTAGGCTGAAGTTTAGATTCATTACTAAATTTCCAGTTTAATTTGCCCCACGACCAAGCTGAGCTACATTGTTGTAGCTAATCATAAGTAGGCAAGTTGTAAATAACTATGAACTTGCCACCATGCTAATCTTAGCATACTAACTATGCAATGACTTAGTTACATTGTGAACTTTCACACATACAAAATACAGGTTATTCAAATCTAAAGCTGGGCTGTGTGCTTCCTTCTTTTTTTGATTAGGTTAGATGGGATTGTTGTCAGTTCTCTGCAAAGCTTGTCCAACCTCATTTGTGCTGAGAGCATAAATAGGATCAGTCATTGACATAGTAGATAACAAAAAAAAAAAAAAAAGAAGATGTGTTGTTTACTTATGACCCCCCCCGACACACACAAACACACACACAAAGTGGTGCATTTTGAAAGAATGCAGTTTTCAAATTGCAAGAACTAATTTTTTTACTTATGACATAGAATTTGTGATCTGTCTGAGGATGAATTAGAACAATCTGCAGTGACTAAGAACCCACATGATTCGTGCATGACAACACAACCACAACTAACTGGCTATCTGACACATTACATTCAGTGCTCAAGTCTGAAGCCAAAAAAAAATGGTCTAAAAATTTGTCAAAAAATAGGCCTGGATCATCGTTTGTAAAACATAATTGCAATTTAAATCATTACAGCCCTAGTCATTACAGATGCAGAGGGAAAGATGCAGTGGTAAGACAGAGGCCCTGTACACGTGCTCTACCTTCTAAATGATGCCGGGAGATGTATTTGAGTGCTTCGTCCAAGAGGATGACTGGAATGGAGATTTTGAGGACAACTATCCACTGGGACCAGCGCAGAGGGGTCACTTGAAAGATCAACTGAAAAAGAAACAGAACAGACACAAAGGCAGGGGAAAAATGAGGTAAGAGGTGGGGAAATTATTTTAGAGGTCAAATAACAACAGAACAGCAAACAACGTAAAATTTATAGTCAGTCAGCTGTGTGTGCTTTTAGTACATCTACATCTGTATAAATAAAGACATACAATGAAAAGGTTTAATAATTTCAGCACACTTTTGGAACATCTGAAAAAAATGAATTCAAAATAGTGTATTAAAATTTTAATTGTATCATCGATGCACGCTTCAGTCTCTTCCAAGAGTCTCTCCTTTGCTGTCTTTTGTGGAAAGCAGGGTCAATCCTAAAACCTTGGGCTCTGGGTGCCTCCAATCAGAGCAAAGTAGAAAAGGAGGGAAAGGGGCTTATGATATTAACACATCCATGCTCAAATGACTGAGCTTTTTTTCTGATTTTTTTTTATAAATTCAAGTTCGGAGTTTTTGTGATTCGTGTCTTTGTTTTGATTTTTTTTGAACGTGTGACTTCAGTCCTAGGAGTTTCATTTCAGGCACCATTTCATTTCAAACCAGTAAAGTTTACTGCGTTGACGGTGATACAGGCAGATACTTTAGGCCTCTAAGGTAGGCTAAGCAACTCTATTCACATGCAAGAGAATGGGGTAGGATAATAAAGTCATACCAAGAATATATGTGTGGGATACATCTGGATTTTATACAGTGGCTGGTGAAAGTTCTTTGGCTTGTGGCACAAACAGTATGTAGGAATGCAGTATTCTTCAAACAAGTGGAAAAGAGAAACAAGAAAGAATGAATGTGTGCGTCTGTGTTGACTGGTACTTACCGGTAGGGGCTCCACGTACAGTATGAGAAAATGTAGAGACAGGGACAAAATGATGGCTCCCAAAAGCCAGATATTAACCCACGGCGGCATCCTCAACAGAGACTGGTTCTCCGAGAGACTGACAGAAAAATATTAAACACGTAAGAGTGAACGCATATACCCATAATACAGTATTAACACACTAATGCAACTGTAAGAACGTCTTTATAAAATGCATAGTCCTAAAATCTGATTGGCTTTGCTGCATTCAATGCCACTGTATCATATTCAATAAAAACAATAATCTTTGACCACCTCACAACAAGTAAATTCTGTATTAAGGCCATAGTAAATCACTAAAACCATTATAATGTGAATGGACCACCAAGTGTACTCAAAGATTAAGCAAGTGACTAGAAAAATATGGCAGGCTAAACAGGCTAAAAGATAGCTAACAAGCTAAACAACATGCTTCTCCATTAATGTTTATTAAGGTCTCATTAAGGTTTTGAATTGAAGTATTTATCATTCACTGTAAACTGCAATATAAAAAGTGAAGAATTTGTTATTTTAATGCTTCACATGCATCAAATGTCCATGTTTTTGTTTAAATTTGTCTTAAGTAGTATTTAACCTAGTGTGGGAAAATGCCTGGCACAGTTAGCCTAAACTGGCATGTGAAAACAATGTATAAGGTCAAGAATTCTACATTAAACATAATATTATATTTTCATGATTATATGGCAAAAAAAAGAAAACAGTTAATGAAAAGACTACATTATTTATTTAATAAATAACACAACACTGTTTCCAAAAAAGTTGTTTGTGAATTGAGGAGACCAGCTGCTATAGTTTTAAAAGTGAAATGTTTTTCTATTCTTGCTTGATATGGGATTTTAACAGCCCAACAGTTCGGGGTCTCCTTTGTCATATTTTTCATTTCAAAATGCGCCAAATGTTTTCATTGGTGACAGGTCTGGACTGCAGCCAGGTCATTTTAGCTCCCGGATGCTTTCACTATGGATCCATGCAGCTGTAATACGTGCAGAATGTGGTTAGACATTGCTGAAATAAGCAAGGTCTTCCCTGAATGACAGCATATGTTGCTCCAAAACCTGTATATATGTCATTTAGCACTAATGAAGCCTTTACAGACGTGCAAGTCACCTGCTAGATGCACTAATGTACCCCTATACCATCTTGGATACTGACTTTTTAACTGTGCGCTGATAAGCTGGATGGGCCATGGTTTCCAAAAAGAATTTCCAATCTTGATTTGTTGGACCACAGGACAGTTTTCTATTTCACCTCAGTCCGTCTTAAATGAGCTTGGACCCAGAGACGGCGGCAGTGTTTCTGAATCCTTTTCTTGATGCAGTGGCGATGCAGTGCTACCTTAGAGCCCAAAGATCATGGCCAGCCAATATTGGTTTTCAGCCTTTCCCTTGTATACAGGGGTTTCTCTGGATTCTCTAAAGATTTTAATGAAATGTACCGTAGATAATAAAATGCCCAATGCCAAAGTTCTTTGCTATTTCACATTGAGAAATGTTATTCTTGAATTGTGACACTTTTGCCTGCACAGTCTTTTACAAAGTGTTGAACCCCTCCCCATCTTTACTTCTGAAAGACTCAGACTCTGTGGGATGCTCTTTTTATACCCAATCATGTTACTGACCTGTTGCCAATTAACCTAATTGGTTGAAAGATGTTCCGGCACGTGTTTTTTTTTTAGCATTATAGAACTTTACCGGTCTTTTGTTGCCCTGACCCAACTTTTTTTGAAATGTGTTGCTGGCATCAAATTCATGAGTATTTATTTTGAAAAAAAAACAATAAAATTTCTTGGTTTCAACATTTAATATGATGTCTTTGTACTATTTTCTATTACATGTAGAGTTTAATTGATTTGTACATCATTGTATCGTATTTACATTTTTCACAGAGTTTCAACTTTTTTGGAAATGGGTTTATATGTTTTATTATAGGCTGTGTTATATTGTAAAAGCAATAAACCACATCACATCTTGCCTAAAAACTCCTCACAGTAGCTCAAGTGTTTTATTGCTTTATTTTACTATAGGTTAAACTGCTCCTTCACTGAGTCTGTGTCATCTCCATAGAAATATAACCCACCTGTTGAGCGCGTTGAACATCTCTATAGTGACGAGCACAGAGAGGGCCATAGTGGTGGGGTAGCGGGACTCAAATACCTCACAGTCGATGCCCTGGAACATAGGGTTCTCGTCCGTACACTGCATGAAGTGCCTCTGTACAACAACAAATGGCAGAGAGGTGTGAGAACAACTTCACACTATCACCAACCACAACCAACCTAAACTAGACTGATTTACATAAATTCAGGAACCTGTTAGCAGAAATTAACGTTAACACCACGATAGACTTGGTAAGCAAAAATGACATACACATATATAATAATATATATAATAATGTTATTTTACAAGACTTACATGGCATCTCTATGATATTATTTGTGTATATCACGTTATGATGAGAGAAAACATTCAACCATCTAGCATGTCTGTTCATTTTTAAAGGGAGAATTTGTTAACTCTATTCACAGCATGGAACATTGCACTTGGAATTAATCATAACAACCTCCAGTAAATTATAATGGGCTACTTCAAATGTTCTTTTTTTATGCTTCAAATGTTCTATTTTATGCTACTGTTTATGATGTTGATCACTATAATGCCCTACACACTTCAGTTTAAGAACTATTCCTTTATTTTGTTCTACCCTGCCTTGTCCAACTTTAATAAATGAAACTGAAACCTATTTACTGATTCACATACAGTAAAATCCATAGTCTGTGTATCATAAATACAAACACAACTGCTGGGTCTAAAATCAACCAGCTTTTCATTCAGTTGTTGTGTCAGGGCTGGATCGCAATAATGGAAATATAATGAAAATACTGGCTCTGCTTGGAGTGAACCGGCTGGAGGAATGTAATCTAAACTATATAACCAAAAGTATGTGGACACCTGACCATCACACCCATACGAGCTTGTTTTGACATCCCATTCCAAAGCCATGGGCATTACCATGGAGTTGGCCCCAGTTGTGGCTAGAACAGTCTCTACTGCTCTGGAAGGGCTATTTACAAGACTCTGGAGTGTGTCTGTGGGAATTTGTGTCCATTCAGCCACTCAAATTATTTATTAAAAACACCACTGAAAACTCATCCATAACAGAGTTCAATTATTTGGCTTTAAAAAAAAAAAAAGGAATAAAAATAATGTAAAATACTCAGTTTTGTTTTGCATACCAAAAAGACAGAAAATATCTTTACTGTGGAATTTTTTATGCAAATTGATTTACTGCAAACTAATTTACCACTTATTAGCCTCTAATTAGTGATCACTAAGACTCCACTTCAGAATAAGGAACAAATCTCACTTGACAGTATAAAACCTATAGGAATAATGTTGCCCATTATGCACTAATAAGATAATTTAGGTGATTAATTTATGCTCAATAATTTGCATAACTACGTCATAAAGTATTAATTGTGCATTATTGCAACTAATAATGCATTGGTTAGTGATTTTCACATGACAGACCTCCAATTATGTACTAATACAGGTCATAATGAATAAAGCTTGATGCACAATGAATAAACCATTTAGACGAGTCTAATTTGAGCTTTACTGAACAAAGAACAAGACCTTAATAAATCCCCAGTGTATTTTCCTTCAAATAAAGTGTAACTATTACTTCTACTTGGAGTATGGGTTTAGGCTTCTATACCCACCTCTAATTCCTAATGTATTTTTTCTACTCACCAGCTGGTAGAAAGACACCTGAGGACCCTGCTCATCAAACAGGTACCACCAGGTGGCAGCACTAACTGTGCCTAATCCCACATATCCTAAAGAAAATGGAACAAACACAAACAGTAAGAGGCTTATGGACAAAAATGACATTCATGACACAGTATTATCATTTATCAATAAACTATCATAGAAAAAAACTTCAAAAAAGAAACAGGCATGTACTTTATGTAGTGTACAGGCTGAAGTCATTATCATTTCAATTTTGGGAAACTATGAAATCTAGAATCTAATCCTAAACAGTATTTGACTGTAAGTAGACCTTTTCAGATCACATCTACAAACACAAAAATGTAATCCCTTCAGACACATGCTACACGATGATGCGTGTAGCCACTTGCGTTACTGTCTAGAATGTTCTACAACAGCACAGTACAAGACACTGTTCACTGTTCAGCCTTGCTCACCTCCAATGGCGAGGTATCTGAAGAAGAGCCAGCCAGAGATGAGTGGCTCTTTGGGATTGCGAGGTGGTTTGTCCATGATGTCCAGGTCTGGGGGGTTGAAGCCCAAAGCGGTGGCAGGGAGGCCATCTGTGACCAGGTTCACCCACAGCAGCTGCACCGGGATCAGAGCTTCAGGAAGCCCCAGAATCGCAGTCAGGAAGATGCTGGAAGGAAAGAGAGAGAGCAGGTGGGTGTGAATGTTAATTGAGTTGAGCCTGCATAATTTGGCACAAACAGGTAAAAACATGTAGAATTAAAATACACAAATGTACCACTTTAGGTAAACTTTGGAATTGCTATATAACAATAACTTACACAAACTTAGTTTAAACAGCAGAAACAAGACACCAAAATGTATAGGTGTAAGTATTTTGGGCATAACAAGACGTTATGCTAAAGATTTGATCACTACGTGGATAACCAAGTGGTGTAAAGCATTATAATTTAATTCACATTATCGTTCCTCTGTTACTTGCTTTGTGTTTATGTCTCTAAAGCCCTCTTCGAGCTGGATTTGTTTTCCCTGGGTAAGTATTATAATCTGAGTTGAATCTGCGATGTCAGAAGATTCTAGTCTGCTAAGTAATAATTCTGCAGTAAATTATCTTCTATAATTCATCAAACTCAGAGCTCCATCTGTAATAGTAGTCCTTATCGAATTAACATTGTAATAATATAATAATAAACCCTGAAAATACACATTGTTTTTGGCGACTAAGAGAAAAGGCTAAGGGTTAAAATGGAGCTTAACAGTTGCTTTATCCTCCAGTTCAAAACAGGACTGTAATCTACTGCATCTGCTATTGCATCTGACATTAACAGGAAGTTTGTTTTTGTTGTTTGTTTGGCCCTGTTTAAGTTTATTCTTAGCGCAGACTATGCATTTCGATCCAGGCTACGTGGGATAATCTGATGAAATTATAGAAATATTTTATCCCCTTTTAATCAGATAATCAAATTTCTTACAAATCACATTACCTCCCCAGGTAAAAGTAATCCAGCTCAAGTAGGGCTTAAGAGAGCAATATTAATTATGTGTCATAGATTTTAAATCACAAATTTCCTTTACATAGATTAATCATGTGTGTCCTTGTTTGTAATTTGCATGTGTGTGCTACCTGTCACAGCTGACTTCAGCTTGACTGATGTAACTTCAATTGCGAGTAGCACAGCACAAGCATGGGGGACGCTGTAAACTCAGCAAGCAATCCATCTAAGCAACTAATCACGCTGATACTAAATTTAAGAACATAAATCCCCATAGTGAAGAAGAGAGAACCTCAATCTCAAATTAACAGGTCAGACTTCGTTTAGAACAGCTATGTTAACTTTGCATGTTATTCTTAAAGATTTAACTTGAGGCAGCTGTTTTGGGACCACTTCCACTGGCTACTTTTTGGGTTTCAAAATATTGTTAGTTATTCATAATTTTATATAATTGGAACAAAAGCGACGAGAAACTTCCAGTAAGGGAACTGGTGAGAGAAATGGAGCCTGTTGCATTGTGTTTGTTGCTTTTTCATTTCTTCATGGAAATGGAATAGATGTTCTTATGTAGTACAGTAAACTACATATATACAAATACTTCTAAATAAAATACAATATAGGGATGATATACCATATATGGATGAATGCTTAAATGAACCATTTTACACTTTATAATGAAGACAAATTCAAGGATATTAACAATTTACATTTTAAAACATTTTCGCGGTTCTGCTTTTTTTTTTCCTTCTTCGCGTCGTTCATGCACAGATAATTGTAGGTAACCGAAGGCCTGGAAGGATACATCTGATGCATCCTCGAAATCACTCAGAACGTAGGCTGCATTCCTAGGCTGTATACGAAGGATATTTCTATGACGTAGCGGCCGAGAAATGCAGCCTAGGCTTTGGAACGCAGCTTGTGACTGGCTATGTCCTTAGATCTTCTATTACTCTATTGCTTTCTAGTTGGAACAGATGTGTGTGCGGTTTAGAGCGTTACTTTATTCAGGAGGTAATAAGTAGTCCTGTTACAGTTTGAGAGAAGTAATCAATAAATTGTAATTGAGTGACTACCTCAACGCTGTTTTAGAATCAACCTTTTAGAATCATCTGTAGCTCTGAACACATTAACAGTTTCTTTATTTGTTTTACAGCTTCATGATCAATTTTTGACGCCTGTGAAACTGCACAGGTCTCGCTTCAATACAAACACTAAAAAGCAATCAAACTAGTCTTATATTATTTATATAACTAATAACAAACCCTACAACAGTGATTCTATACTTTGGAACAGTAATGTAGGCTCTTTACTAGATTTATTAAAAGTTTAATGTCCTATCTGAATTCTGACAGAATTTCAGCCGACTCCACATCATCAGTTGGTTCTGGATGATCAGGTATAGTCAAAGTGACGCACCAGACAACCTCTCCCACGTTGGAGGAGATAAGGTAGCGGATGAACTGCTTCATGTTGTTGTAGATGGCTCGGCCCTCCTCCACGGCTGCCACGATGGTGGAGAAGTTGTCGTCCGACAGCACCATCTCTGAGGCAGACTTGGCCACAGCCGTCCCGGAGCCCATCGCGATGCCGATTTCAGCTTTCTTCAGAGCAGGAGCATCATTCACTCCGTCGCCAGTCTGTGAGAGAGTGTCAGAGGGTGGAGGTTAATGATGTGTTAGCAGAACATCCAAAAGATGTAACGATTTAACAGACGAAAGGAAAGCTAGAGAGCACAAAACACAACACTCATGAGAACACTTATATCAAAGCAGAGAGGCCACTTGTCTCCTCTGAGGAACATAGCAAATTGGCTTTCGCAGTTTTGAATACATAGCAGTTAGATCAAATCCTGCTTCAAAGACAGACAGGAAAAAGACAAGTGGAGGGCTGAGAGAAACAAAGACTCTTCCTGATTGTGGCACCATCTGGAGTTGAACTCACAGTCTCTCAACAGCAGGGCCAACCCTTAGCTGAGTCCCTCCTGTTTAAATATACAGTCATATGCACAAGTCTGGTCAAATGACGTTCTGTCGACTTACAAAATGAAAATTAGTTAACAGATCATCTTCAAGGTACATACTTGTGCACATTATGATGCACAATTACTGTTTCTTTGCTGAATTAACACATTTGAGGATTATTATTTTTTTTGTTAAAACTGAAAATTATGTTAAACTGAAATTATACAATTAAAACTGGCAGGAAATTTTCTGTTTGCCAAATTTATGTTTGTTCTCTATAGAGGATGTATTCAACAGTCAACAAAACACATAATTTGGTTGTAGGTGTTCAAACTTTTGCACATGACCTTATCAGCAACTACACATTACGTGTAAGGCTCCAGTCCTTGCGGGCCAAAACACTGCAGACCTCAGCACGCTGCCTCATTAAACACATATGATTCAGCTCATCAGCTAATTAGCAAGATCTTCGTGAACTGAATTCAGAGTGTCAGATGAGGGTAAACGTTAATCTCTGCAGCACTTTGGCCTGGAAGGTCCCCAGTTTAACATGTCTGAACTAGATGAATTGGTGAATCTGAGCATGTATATTATTTAAGACTGAGTTTCTGTTAGTTATTTGAGTTTAACAAGTGTGACACTTGATAACTATCAGTAAAGCACTGTTAAACTAAAACTACTAAAGTATAAACCCCAATTAGGGATGCAAAATCTGGCAAATTCTTTTTATCAATAACAGATAATTAGCCTAAAATTACAAACACAACCCTTCAAAATATCAATAATAAAACTAATAGTTCCACTTCTGAATTGGCTAGGCCATTTTCAAAGGTGCTGTAAAACACTTGATATACACACACACGAGTACTCACATCAACTGAATTCTGTATTAATGCACTGAGATTTTAAAAAGTGTTGCTTGTATAGATCATCAAATGCAGTACTGACAGATGAGACCAGGCATCAGCATGCATATGAAGTAACTGAAGTTTTCTTTATGATTACATATTCATGTTCATGATTATATTAAATGACTGGCTACCAAAAGTTCTACGTTCTGAAGTTCTAAAGTTATATTTACCACTCACTACGAGACCAAGTTAAAACAAACATAAACGCCATGACTGAGGCTAACTTTGGATCAATGTTCCTCAGTATTTCCAGAAAGCTGTTTCCATCCACCACAAGTTTGCATGTGTGATATCCTCACCCCAGCATGCATCACACTTTCTCTCAGAGAACATGGATGAAATAGTTGTGATCATTGTTGTAGTTATGCAATCGTCCTCTCAAAAAGTGGCCATGTACACCACTATTTTCAGCTTTATGCTACATTTTTTAGTGGGCCTGTCAAGCAGAACCAACTGCCTATTGAGCTCTTATGCACAGAGTTCCAAAATGTTGAATGATAAACCTGCCAAATAAAATAGGCTGTTGACAAATTGGAAATGTTGTCTATTGGAAATGAAATCAAATGAAATGAACATTTGACAGATAGCAATGATCGAACATTTGTTTCTTTGTCAGTTAATGGTTAATCAGTTACACCCCTAATTGTGCATATAAAATTAGATTGCAGATTATTGGATATTGGAAACTTTAGCCCCAAAAAATTAGCACCCGTACCAACCACAGGTACTGGCTCACAACCATATTACTGTCTTAAAATGGGTTTTCCACTGACCTCTATATTTCCGTACCCAAACACTGCTATGCTTAAACCTAAATCTAACTGTACCTAACTACCTAGAAGCTGCATTTTGTTTAGCATATGTCCTTATGGGGAAAGTACCCAACGCTCACATATAGCAATAGTAGAATTTTCATTTTCCTAGCATTTAGACCTGATCAGGAGAGTAAAACCGACAGATCCATCCAGACATAGTCAGACAGAGATGGCTGGAGCTAGTGGTGCAGGGATACATGCAGAGAGAAAACGATAACACGGTCTGATAGATGCTGAAAGAGTACAGCAGCACTGAAGGCAGTACTGTCTGCCTATGTGATGGCAAAGCCTACTGGGAACTGTAGGCACTGAGCCATGCTGGGAACAGCAGTCACTGAGGCATGCTGGGATTTTAACCTCAGAGACATGCTACAGCTGCTGTCCTGATACATCTTCCAATAATTCAGACAGAAGTAAGCAGTGGGAACAAAAGTTTAGCATTTTAGTGAAGTTCAGCCTAATTATTCATAAGCTTCATTAATTTGCAGGCTATGAAGTGGGCAGACAAAAAAAAAAACGAGTTTTCTTATAACAGCAGCAACAGAACCTATCTGTGTGTGCAAACAGTATTTGGAGTACTGAGGTGGCAGGTTAGGTTGTAAGGAAACGGTGTGGATAATAAATTTCCTCTTTCCCCTCAGCTGCAGTTGATCAGCCATAACACGCTTGTGTTGCTGAAATTTGCAATTAGTTTTGCACCAGAGTCTAACATAACTAATAATACTCTTCCTAATGTGGTTTCCAGAGCTGTACGTAAACTTTTGAGCAGGTAACACTGAGAAAATTGACATAATTCTGATATATTTTAATCCATATAAATAGAACAAACTGTCATTAACTGTGAAAAGAAAGAGAAACAGCCTCAAAAGGTTTGAATCCTAATATTAATTTAGTGAAATTTACAGATAATTCATATTCTCAAAAATAATTTAGATCCACACAAAAGGCGCTAGTTGCATTTTGAGAGAGGAAACCCACAACAGCAGGAGCCCACAAATGGAAAGTCTTAATGATAAAGGCTAAAGATGGCAAATGCAGTAAGTGCAGCCACGGATGCATCAGCTTCTAAATCCAGAGACTTCTAAATCCAGAGGCAATCTGTAGAATTTTTGATGGCTTAAGATGACATTATAATCCCATACTAAAACAAATTGGGCATTCTGTACATCACAAGGCCATCTGTCACAAACATTTGAATTAGTTGTACCTGATAGACTACAATTATTACTATAAACGCTACAACATAACCTTTGTTACAGTTGACATGACGCTTGAGGGGATAGTTTTGGCGGTGGAGAAATCAGTGGGGACATGCTGTTCAACACTGCACACATCATGTGGTAAGAATAGTTCATGATAATTGACAACAACTTCCCAGTGCACTCATATTTGTACACCATAAATGCACTTGTGCGACTGAGAGCTTAATTTCTCCTAGCACAGGATTTGGCAACCCAAATGTTAAGAACAGCCATTTTGTCCTTTTAGAAAAAAATCAAACCACTTTGGGAGCCACAAAATTTTATGTCCATTTTACCATCTTGGCTGTAAATATGTCTCAGTAGGTGCTAATGTGTTAGTATAGGCTAACAAATATAACATAAATGAAAACGCAGACCTACTTTCCTCTGCTTTAAGCTTTAGCTCTGCTACAGCCGCTTTTCTCACATCTCCGTCAGGAAACTTTTCCAAAAATAGAATAGTTCCTTGTTTCTCAAGGTTGAAGTTTTACATGGCTTAAGTCAGCTTCTGTTTCGCCAGCTTCTTGTTCAAATTTTCCCATTCCACCTTAAATGGTGCCTGCTGTGGGAATGGGAAAATTCAAACAAGAAGCTGTGCATGACAAGCTGACTTCAGCTTTGTGACTTTTTAGAGTTGGACAGTTTCTCTTTGCAGATTAAACGCTTCAGGAAATCAGCTGGAGTGATTATAAATGCAGATAAGTCCATTCGTCCTCCAAGTTATCAATGTTTGTCTTAAATCTTTCTCTTTGTCTGTTCGTTAGCTACTAGCTTGGCAAGACTGTTGTTTGCGTTACTATGTGACCAGCGGTCTGCACGCTGATCTTCAGGGTTAAAGGGTGAAATAACATTTACACATTAACTCCAGCGTTTAAGACCATTTATTTTTTAAAATTTAAGAACAATCAGCAGAGCTTTATTTTACTGCGAAGGAGGATTATTTTATTTTTACCTAAAAATCTAATTCTGCTGTGGAGCCACAACAGAGCAGCAAAAGAGCCACATGTTGCCGACCCCATGCAATCATGTTGCACCGTACATCCCCTGAATAAAAAGTCTAAAAATATTTGGTCAAAGTTTCAATACTGCAGCTACTACTGTCAAATAAAACATGCATTAGTGCATTGTTATAGATAACAGTATAGCTTACAGTGTCAGAAACCATAAAAGCAAGTTTATTTCCGATTACTTTACAACTCAACGTAGTTCGAGGCAAGTGTGTTGTTATTTAGGCATAAATGATGCTAACTAGTGGGGTATAGTCTTACATTATTTACTGCAATTGTCTGGTAACACCAGTGCAACACTAAAGAAGCACTTCATACAAACACGTCTTGACAACAATTGGAATAAGGGGAAAGTTTCGGGTAAAATGTCGTTTTAAGTGAATTCAGAGCTTTTCTCTTACCATGGCTGTGATCTCATCAAACGACTGCAGGTAGCCCACGATCTTGGACTTGTGGGCGGGTTCAACCCGGGCAAAACACCGCGCTATCTTGACAGCCTCTCTCTGAGCTTCGGGAGACAGGTCGTCAAACTCACGGCCCGTGTAGGCCTTCCCGTTCACATCCTCATCCTCAGTGAAGATGCCAATGCGTCTGCAAATGGCTACAGCGGTGCCTTTGTTGTCACCCGTGATCATGATGACACGTATGCCTGCTTCGCTGCACAGCTTCACAGAACCAATCACCTCCTTCCTGGGCGGGTCCAACATGCCCACGCAGCCGACGAAGGTCAGGTCAGACTAAACATACACACACACACACACACACACACACACATACACACACACACATATATATATATATATACATACACGATTTATACATGAGCCACTGCAATTCCTAGTTTTATATTTTTTTTAAAAACAAGAAGTTCTTATGTTTTACTGTGTTCAGTGTTTGTATTGTGTTTATTCTAATGTTATACGGTGTTTTATAGGTAAAACCTCACTTATTGCCAAGATTAACAGTTTTTCCTTGGCTTTTGCACAGTGCTGTAATTATTAACTTGTAAATTGCAGTTTTATGTATTGTACACTACACACAAAAAGCATTTATTAGCAGTTTCATGTATTTTAGGTACAAATAAAACTTATTAAATAATAAATAATATACTGAAAATGTTGTTTGTCAAGTTATCTGCTCTGAGATTTGATCACCACTTCTGAAATACAAGACATTCTGGATATTCTGTAATTGTACAAAAAAAAATCTTTATTTTTACTTTTTTAATGAATTTCTTTAAACAGCTTTTAAAAGGTTGCACAGAACTAAATCATTACATTAAAATCATTTTTTGTTTTACATTACTGAAAATGATTCCAAATGGCCGAATTGTACTGTATGAAATAACTATCAAAAACATGTCCTCATACAATACAGTGAGAAAAATACCTGATTTTACTGTAATGGTGAAACAACTGTATTAAAAATAACACACACAGAAAGCAATCAAATCCACAAATACTGACCTACATATACACCCATATAGTGTACACACACACACACACACACACACACACACACACACACACACACACACACAATGTATGTACGCTCTCTTCTCTCTCACCTCATACTCAGAGAATTTGGCAGAGTTCTCCAGGTCCATGTCCTGTTTGCGAGGGGGCGTGTCCCGTGTGGCTAGTGCTAGGCAGCGCAGTGTGTCCTTCCCTGTGCCCCAATCTCTGATCGTCCCCATCAGCTCCTCCTTCACAGTCATGCTCAGTTCCACCTTCCCTGAGCCCACTCGCACATGTGAGCACCGGTCAATCACACTCTCTGGAGCACCCTGCCAGAGAGACACAAACAGAAGTACAGAAGGAAAAGTGGAATTAAAAAGAAAGTAATTATAATCAGCTGAATACAAATGCATTATAAGAAATAGTATTAGTTCAATAAGTATTAGTTCAAGAAAAAAAGAATACATTGAAAAAAGTACCAGTCAAAAGTGTACACACCTACTCATACCAGGATTTTCCTTATTTGTACCATTTCACTCATATTAGAGTAAACGTGAAATACCACAAATGGAATTACGCTGTGACCAAATAGCACTAAACAAACCAAAACCATCTCCTGGTAACCCAAGACAAAGTTTTGCACACTTTGACATTCTCTCAAGCAGATTTGACGTGTCAACGTCTCTAAACTAGTGAACTGAGCTACTTCACCCTTTGCAGACATACAGCTTGTACAATCTCCATAGAAAAGCACCACAAATAATGAGACGCTCTGGACACTCCATAGGTCACCATGCCAAAAGTGTCATCTAGAGGGGTATTAAAGCTGCCCAGCACTGGGCTGTAGAGCAGTGGAACTGCATTCTCTGGAGTGATGAAGCTAGGCCCAAAATCTTTGTGATGAACTGAAGTGATGCTTGTGATCCAGAACTAATCATACAACATCAGTACCCAACCTCACTAATGCTTTTGTGGCCACAATCAAATCTTCACAGCAACATCCCAATATCTAGTGTAAAGCCATCCCAGATGAGTAGAGACTGTTACTACAGCAAAAAGGGGACGAAGTCCTTATTATTAACCCTTGATATTGGAAGAAAGGCTGGATAAGCAAGTGTCTACAAAGTGTGTGGAAGATGAACATGGCTGTTCTACGCTGTGTAATTTGTCACTTCTATAATAATGCTATGCAAGGAACAGCTGGCTTTAACCTTGTAAAGTGTACCTTAACGAACATCTTGCTCTGCGAGCCTGTTTTAGTAGGTGTGCAGAACACGGACATAGACTTCCTGTCGCGAGAGAACTCCAGAGTGAACTCCTTCTTCATCAGCTGCCTGATAACCTAAAAGAGAGACAGAGGAAATAATGGTGAGAGGAAAGAACAGTGTGGCAGTAGCTTGTGCATGTGTCATTCTCAGCTGTTCTCTAGGGTGGGCTGCAGACAGCCTTGTTTGTGGCCACCTGTCAAGCCCAGGTGATGAGCTCCTGGCACACAAACACACGCACACAGATGAAAAAGCTGGCCCTGACAGACTCTATTCTATACTGCAGCAGTCTCCTTAAACCTGCTTGGCTTTAACACGCCACCAGGTTCTGTCGAGACTGAGAGTCATAGGCCCACAGCAGCTAAAAATACTGGAAGTTCCTGATTCGTTTTCGAATAGTTTTACACAATCACCTGATTAGTATGCAATTATTTGAGCTACAATTATTTTCCACAGTTGTTACCTTTGGCAATAAATGTTTATGCTGCAAAAACAGAATGTGGGTCTGTTTCTATCATTTTATATGGCAACTAATCATCAGCTGACATTTAATGATCACTGCAGGCTGACTAGACACTGAAAGAGGATCTTTTATTCTGCTTAACTACAGCAGGGTGCCATACACCTGTGACCAATTATACAGACAAGCCTTGAGAGCATATTAATGTCATTTGTATAGCAATGTACCTTTTTCTGGCCATTTTCCATTACATGACTCTTCATGTATCACTGAAATCATTTACCACTCTATTTAGCCCATTTCCTTCAGTTTTCAAGCACCAGTCAGGATGTGAATGACAATCAATCATATCCCATTAACAAGAAAACAGGCTATAGCTGGTTAGCATTTCATTTTTGCAGGTTTGTGGTTTGGCAGCAACTAAAAATGGGTTGACAACACAGGTTAGCTAGGAGCAAGCTAGCATGTTGACTGCTGAGTTAAGGCAAAAACAACTGGATGTAATCTGGCATAATGTAATGTTTATCAAAACATTCCACTGAGTAAAAATATTATTCCACAGAAATAATTATTGCATGAGATTATTGCATGAGCCCAGATTTTTACTGTCACACTACTGTGCTTACATTTAAAATTTGTTTTGATACTGTAGGCTTTATCCAGTTTATGCAGCTTGTACCCACATACTAAAATGGTACGCTGTGCCCCTGCTGTTTAACCCCTTAGAATCTAAGCCTAAAAGTGGCTGGCTGAGCATATCTTTATACTTTTGACTAACTTGGTGATACATTACACTATCATGAAGTAATTCAAATGATCATATAGAGTAGTGTATTTCAGCAATATTTTTCATTAACACAAATGTTCAATGTTTAAGATGAAAAAAGGGGAGAAATAAAAATCTTTAACATTTTTAATAAAACTATGTAAGTTTACAAAAAGAAAAAATCGACCACTTTATCAACTTATGAAAATCATAAGTCTCTTAAAGGAATACTACAGCTTTACTGAATCAGTGGTATATGGTTGATTACTGCAGGCAATAATTTCAGCATGTTTGCCTGCCTTAACAGGGCTGTACAAAACCTTTTTGAGCAGGTAGCACTGGTGCTAGAAAAGTTGCAAGTAGCACAAATAAATATCCTTTCACACTGAGAAAAATGGCACACTTAAATCATTATTTCTGAAAAGTGTCCCAAAAGGTGAACAATTTCATTGCTATATTTATTGTCCTAAATCCTAAGTGGGTCCTTATCAACTAAGTAGTATTGTTGCGCATGTTCAACTAAGGAAACCCACATTAGCAGGAGATCACAAAGTCTGCAGTTAAAAATTTCAAAACTGGAAGCAAATTAGTTTATTACTTAAAAGGCAGGGCTCAGTGTTATAATGTTTTAATTTGATCAGTTAAAAAGAATATAGGTTAAATATAGCAAAGACAGTAGTAGAAGCTTCCGAATACAAACATACCTTTGGCCTGACTTGCTTTTTTCCGAAGGCAAATGGTAAAATCCAAATTCATAATAACTTCAAGCATTACATCCCCAAACTAAATATCTTTTGGGGATTTTGTGTGTTAAAAATTGCAGTTTAAAAACATTTCAATATGTTCTATTGTCGGTGCTACCTCATGGACTACAACTACCATTAATACTAGAACCTGTTTCGCTGTCTGAATGACTATGCCCATAGGAGGTGACTTGGGTAGTTGGAAAAGCTTGAGTGACATTGCACAGGAAGTAGTGGGAACAGTTCACAATTTTACATAATTGATTACAACTTCCTTGAGTACCAGGACTTCACAAAACATGTGAATTGAGAAACTCAATCTGCGTTCACACGTTTTCTGCACCGTTATCTTTTTTGTTTTTTTTTCTAAAAACTCACATATAATAGAAGCCAGTGGGCAGTTTCTTCAGCCCTTGAAATTCACTTACAGTAGTAACCAATGGACAGGTGTTTCAGCACCTGTATAAGCAAAAATGATCGAGCTGCTTTTTAATAGGTACTACTTTCCACCACTAGGTGGCACGCACGCCCAACACTTCAGAATGGATCATTTTGACAGGTTTGTGATGGGAGCAGATGATATGCTAACTCAGAAAAGAGCACTTGACAGATGTCCAGATAAGAGGCATAATGCAAAAGAAAACAAAGGATCTTTTTTCCCTAAACATTACCACAGCACTGTAAAGCTAGCTCAGTGTAACCTTTCTTTGCATACATAATCCTCGTCTTTGACGTCAGAGCACTTTATGTGTGTGTTTAAAAACTGTCCGGCTCAGTCTATACAGTGAGAGAGTTCCTCGTCAGATCGCAGTAAAAAGGGGAAAGCACTCTCTTCTGTCCCTTTCTGTCTCTGAGCCGGCGAGCTGAGTGCAGAGTTTAGCTAACCTCTTCATAAACTCGCCCGCTTGTCTAAATATTATGCTTTGCCTCAGGGAGCCTGTGTCACTGTGGGGTTTTTTCTTGTCGTTCCTTGTTTCTTTTGTGAGAAGAGAGGGATTTGCATGGCCTTTTTTTGGAGGGGTCAGTGGAAAAACGACAGTGCTGCTGGTCATTCACTCCTTCTCAGGAACAGGCTCCCTCGCTTCCTCACGGGAACAGAAGAGTGGGGGGTGAAGGAAGAGTGCAGTCCACTAGGGCCTCAGTGTTCCAGTAATCCATGTCTCTCCCTCTTTCTCTATAGTTTGCTATGTAGTATCAACATACATAGGAACTGTATATAGATAACAGTGGTATGAAAAAGCATTGAACAACCAAATCGAATTACGTTCTGTTGATTTTCTAAGTTAAAAGGAGTTGGCACATCCTCCAAGGGAAACAAACTTAAAATACGGCATCGCTTATTTTCACTTTAAAGATCAACAATAGCGTAATTTGACCAGGAGCGCAAAAACTACCGTATAAGACAGAAGAAATATCGGCGGATAAAATTGGCCAATATTAAGATATTTTAAATATTATATATATATATATATATATATATATATATGTGTATAAGATTTATCAGCGAAGATCTGTGAAGAAACGTCAGTATTTTTTTTTTAAGTTGCTTGTGTTATATTGTAATGAAGACCTCTTTGAATGGTTAAAGTTCGTTATACAGATTGCCAAATTAGTGACTTATTGTAATACAGGCTTAACAGGCAAGTGATGAAAAATCTGAACCCAATAAAATCAATAAGAATGCTGGAAAGCTATATAATTCATACACTACATGTGAGTTACTCCTGCTCAAGCGTGCATTTAGGGGGGATGTCTGAATACATGTGTAGTTTGAATCCTTTGGCCCCCACTAAATCAAAAAATGACACATTAATTTATCTGACATCGAACCAAAAAATGTACAAACAAAAAGTCATGGACTAAAAACTGGTTGGGCAGATTATATGATGTATGTTTGGTGACATCAGGGACAATATCCAACAAATGTTCTGAACTATGCTGTTCTCTGGCTTAACTGAACTCATACATTTACATATGTATTATGTCATGTCTTGTGATAATATGGAAGAATAAGCCACGAGAGTATGTATTTCACCGTGATCTGCCCCACGGTGCCAAGCGGAATGAAATCACTCTACTTTATGTTGCTTTAAATGTGCTTCGGCCTTGTTTTAAAACTGCAACAGTCCATTTTATATTTACCAATGCAGAGTTCATGAAGGGCTAATAATTGGGCCTACATGTCAAAACAGCATCAGAAATAAATCATCTGCATGTACTAAAGAGGGTATATTCTGTATTTCATCCATTTAGATGTCTTAGTAAAGTTCACTGGGTAGCCTTCTCACTAGTTCTAATGAAGCACACTAACCAAGCATTCACACCAGGGTTTGTTTTATTCAAACCAAAGCTGCCAAATGTGGACACTGCCTTAAAAATGTTACAGTTGAGAACTGACAATCATATCAGTTAGTAAAGAAGTTTAACTAAAATTTGACCACAATTAGTTATATTGGCCAGATCTGGTGTCCGAATTTCTGTAAGCTTCTTAATCCGTGCTCCATATCAGTCTGGCTATTTCAGAACAAAGCTATTTGATACCAGAGGAAGTTATCAGTTATTTCATATCAGTAAGAGTTGTAGAGCTTAGCTCAAAGAGAGCAAACGGGGTAGGTGGCAAAAACTGTACATGTGCCTTAATATGTGTTAACATACCTAAAAATAAAAGCTCCTACACGTTCTTGGTTTGGACAAACTTTACAAAAACCTTCAAAATCTTCACACTTACATCTCATTTATGACCAAAAGATGCTGCAGTTCTTCTACAGAGAGGCAGCATTAAGGACACAATAAAAAATTTCAGAGCAGCAACACTGTAGCACTCTTTGGTGCTTTTTAAAAGTCACTATGGATGTGTTCTGGCAGTGAATGTGAATATTATAAATGTGTTGCCTATTACAAATGCCTGAAAATGGCCTTAGGAATACTGTAGTTCTTTCACTAACACTTCTGTAAAGTCATTTCCTCTGGTCTTATCCTTCTGCTTTAGTTTAGTAGAGCTGCTCCTCTATCATTCTTGTTAACTCCCTCTCCACTCTCCTACTACTTTAACGGTATTTCATCTTTCCTGTGCCTCTGTCAATTTGCAGTTCATCACTCTGTGCCTACCCATTATACCCTCTAAGACTACTCTACAGTTTTATGACTCTATAAATTTCCTTTACCCATCCGATCGGTCCTTCTAGCAATCCTCACATCTATCAGTCTCTCTTCTGTTCTTACCGAGTTGCACGCTCCTGCCCTCTCGACTTTGCTGAGGCCAGACAGGTCAGTCTTAAAGACGTTCATCTTCTCCACCAGAGTGGTCAGCGCCGTTTCTGTGGCCTCCCCCACCTTCTCATAAACTCCTTTAGCCTGAGGGACACAATGGACATGATTATGTGTGAGTCACAAACACACACATACATACATACACAAGCACATACAAGCCACCAGGGATGCCGAGTAGAAGCCAAACAAAGTTTCCATAGCAAGAAAGGAGAAAGATCTCAGCCTCCAGATGAGAGGGCTAATCTTCACAGTCATCCTGGATGGAAAATCAAGGTAATAGATGTGAAAGATGATATGGAAGATGTTATGCAGCCCAAACTAGAAGTTTTCCTCTTCTATCTGATCTCTAGACAGTAGCTGAGGAATCATGTTTATTCAAAAAAGCTCCTTATAGTTAGAGAGCTAATTTTAGACCAGATTAAGCATTTAGCTATGACTCTGACCAAACGAAAACCATTTTCTGTCTCACTTTATCAGTCATTCGACTCTAATGCCTGGTGACTACACTTCAGCATTTATGTAATCCAAACCAATGTTGAAAGTAAGAGACCACACGAATAATGACAATTTTCACTGACTTTTTTTGCCCCTAGTCATCTTTAGTCCTCACAGTAACCATTCAGGATGTGCATGGACACGAGTGCTTGGTTAACCTTCTGAGGTGCCATTATTCAAATACTGAAAATACACAGACCAACATTTTTATCGATTTTATGTTTTAACAGAACTGCAGAACATGAGAGTTTTCTCATATTTGTGAGTATCTATGTTGTTATATGAGACAATATTAAAGGTTAGACTGAGAGAGTAGAGACAGTGTGGCACACTGTCTACTGAAGAGGAAAAAAACACCTGAAAAAGGCTACGAGTCTAAATCAGCATCCAGTGCTGTAGTTGTTAGCTGTACTTTTAGCTCATTAGGCAAGGCAAGTTTATTTGTATAGCACACTTCATACACAGTGGCAATTCAAAGTGCTTTTGCGATTATACTTGAATCATTTCCAGCACTCTAAGTGAGAAAGAGCACCAAAAGTTACCACTCTTAGCTCAGCTGGGCAGTCTCTGCTACGATACTCATCTGATATGAAAACCTACCAAATTCCCTCGGCTATTTTTGAACAATAAAACATGTTTTGGACTCTTTGCATGACGCTAAAAGGGCAACACCAGTACTGATTTTTTTTTATTTCTTTCCCCAATTTAGTCAAGTCCAATTCTTCACACTAGTCAGGACTTCCCCAATTACACAATACTACCAGCGCTAGGAGGGCAAAGGCTAGCAGAGACTTCCTCTGAGACCTGTGAAGCCACTGTATCTTTTCAAACTGCCGCTCACGCAATGTCATCGGACAGCTCAGAGAAAAGCGCCAACTGCCAGATCTGTTATGTCAGCTACGCCTGCCCTGACAAGCATCGCCTTTGAGTGACTGAGGGGAAGGAGGGGCCATTCTACCCTCGGGAGATCAAACTCGTGATCTCTTGATGATAGGACCATCGTGCCACCAGCTCTACATTAATATTCAGTTCAGTTACCCTAGTAGTTATGTGTGCTTTTATATTTTATGGTGAAGCTCTAAGACTTGCCATTTATTCCTACTGTACTTTACCTTAAATCAGCTTATTTTAATAACAACTACACCCTATTTTCAATTTCCTTCTTTATGTTTTTATTTTGCTTTTATGTTCTTTGTACTTAACCTTCTGGGTCGCGGGGGGAGCTGAGGCCTATCCCAGCAGTCACCATATGGCTGGACTTTGTATCTTTTTAAACACTTTATTTATTATTTTGTTGTTTTTCACTTTTAAGCTCTTTGCCTTTATCTTTTCTTTCAAGGTTTCTTTTGCTTGTATTTATGTTAAGCACACTGAGTTGCTTTTGTGCATGAAGCGTGCTGTGTAAATGAACTCACCTTGCCTCCAATCAGCTCAGCTCTCTGTTAAGCTCAACTCTCATTCGTTAACCGTTTTGAAGTCAACCCAGTGTTTTTTGATATTGAATATGTTCAAGATTTACGATTCTAAATTAGGGTGGACACAACTGGACTGAGTGTGGAGTAGATTGTTGGGAGGCCAGATTATCCTGTAGCGTGGGCCAGGCAAAAGGTACTGATTTGAAAATTTTGGACTATTAATCAAAGCAACCCCACAACTAACAGCATAGAGTTGCATAGACTTAGAGATGGATGTGAAGCAGGTATTTTGGGCATCTAATATTCAAAAGGGTGTGATGCAGTATACATAAATTTATCTTTCATTTGCTGTGTTTAAAAGAACACTGCCCCTGCACAGAGTCTGTCTTTGGGCCACAGTTTGGTGTTCAAGGACTACTCACAAATACAAACACATTTCCATCTTCCAGACCACATATTAGGGCTGCACAACAGGCCTGGGCAATACCCAAAAATAATTAGTATGATATTTTCTAGTTAAAAAAACAAGATTACAGATTATATTGATAATCCCCAGCTCCACCACCCCACAACCAAAACTCTCCCATTTTACTGTATCCTGCCTTCCGCCCAATGACAGCTGGGATAGGCTCCAGCACCCCACCACGACCCAGAAGGATAAGCGGTTTAGATGATGGATAGATGATGGATTATCTACCAGCTTTTAAAGGCCTCATGATAACCCATTACGTTTTATCAGTAAAAGTGAAAAAAGTGTGTACATACATCAATCAGACGTAACATTATGACCACCTCCTTGTTTCTACGCTCACTGTCCATTTTATCAGCTAGTCTGTAACTGTAGAACCACAAAGTGCACCTATATAGTAAGTGGAGCTGATAAAATGGACAATGAGCATAGAGACAAGGAGGTGGTCATAATATGCCTGATTAGTGTATTATTAAATACTATTTGTTTCCTTTTTCTGATCTTTCCTAGCCACAGATGGGGATCAGAGGAATCTTATTTCTTCTAAAATTTCAGGGCTAGAGCTGACTTAGCTGCTCTAGGGTAATACCCAGTTGCTTTAGCTTGGCTGTTTTACTGCAGAAAGTCACTCTGAAGCAAGCCGAAGTTTTAAAGCATGTCAGCATTCATTTTCAGTTCCATGAACTCAAGCTAAAGTTAACATAGAGATAAGTAGGAGAGGAAGAGCCGTGGGGTACAGCTAGTATCACAGCGCACAGCAGAGAGAACTAAAGGGCAGTTTCTTAAACTCTCTCTCTCTTTCCCTTTAACAACCTGACTATTGGACCACATGGCTGCACACCTCTTAGAGGAACATAAACCCTATTTTCCCAATAAATTTACAAGCTGTTTAATGGTTCATTTGTTCCAGTTCTCCGACAGTTTCCCAACACAGTGATTATCACCTTTTACGCATCATCATCAGGTTACTTGTCAATCATTGACGATATCCAATTACATCACCCTCTTGCCCAGGCCTACTGCACAATATATTGTTTGTTCATCGTTAGTGTGAAACTGGCCTTTGCAACACTGATAGGGTGAATTGTCCTACTGTGGGAAACTTTCACTCTACTTGCTGTCGGTCTTCCTTAAATAAATGAAAGTCAATAAAACTGTAGGTTAACGCAAGCTGTGATGTCATCTGATCAAAATCACATGACTTCTTAAATATCCAGTCATAGATTAGGGTGGAGCAATCTTCAAACAGGAAGCATCTTGTGTGAAGCACACCCAAAGATCAGTGACACAGTGTTTAGAGAAAATTAATATTTAGGGTAAAGGTTTCTTATAAATATAATAATTCTGCTAGTTTTTAATCAGGATGTGTTTATGATATATTTATTATTCAAAACCATTTTTATAATGTGGTGTAAATATACCCTTTACTTGTTATTTCAATCAAATTTTCTATTCTCCTGCTTTAGGAAATATGGTCATAAAAGTGGGACAATATCAGGCCGTTTAGCGACTTTTCAAAACTGTCCCACAACAGGAAAGGCAGACTGTCAGAGACAACATGGCACTAAGAGAACTGATATGTCTGCTATTTCTTTCACAAGTATGACATCTGCATTTTCCCTTTTGGTTTGATTAGAGAATCTCGGAGTGGTTCTGGGTATGGATTTAATGTATTGGCTTTATATCGCAATATATTCCAGAAGGCTGAAGTGCAAAAATTGTCCCACATTAGGCTAATTCCCCCTAATGTAGAAGGCTCCAATACACTGTGTGTTGGGAGTACCTTGGGAGTACCTTGACCCCTCACAGTTCCAGCTGAGTATTTACATGGGTTTTTTGGTGAATCAAAGCGTTCAAATAATCCAACAAAAGTAAGTTATTTCAGTCAAGCCCATCTTTAACTATTTTGCACTATGTAGTATAGTAAAAGTACCATACTTCAATCCTAATAGTAATATAATTGCAATGCTAGTATTTTGTCCATATTGTGCAGCCCTAACTCAAAACTTAACAGAGCAATAACTCAGTTGCTGCTCCATCAGATCACATGATATGCAGTCATTTTATGTCAATATGAAGATGTGGCTGGCCTGCTTGATTTGGCTACACAAACAACAAAGCAGGATGTAAAAGTCTCCCAGGCCTGTCATAACCTGCGCCGTCCATGGCTCTACCTGCACACATGGAACACGCACACATATACACACAGTGTTGTGTAACATGGTTGCACTGGTACCATGGTGACAACAGGGAGGTGAGAAATGCAAGCCAAACAGGCAAAACAAGCTGGGGGCCTAGAGCAAGTGCAGAGGTCGAGAGAGGGTGTATGTGGGTGTGTGAAGTCCATAAACGTTAGCACCTTCGCTATGTGGGATGGAGTCACTGCCACGCTGTGTGAAGTGCATTAGCTTTCATTTAACTTTACATGTAAATATGAGGCGTGGGGTTTATTATAAGGGGATGTGCACTCTGACTATTTTCGGAGAACAACTAAAGACTTTGGCCAAAACTAACGCAGGGCTGTAGACTTGCGTCTTCAGATGAGCTAATGAGCTAAAGCTAACGAGTACACCACTGGATGCTGATGAGGACTCATTTTCTACACAAGGTCTCCTCTGAGGACAAAGTTAGTTTGTTAGAGAATCACATTTCCTTGGACTAAGATCAGCTAGAGTAGTTAGTCAAGTTAGCAAGAAAAAACAAACAAAGAAACAAACAAACAAATAAATAACAAAGTGCCAAAACAGACCACACTATCTCTGCCTTCTCAGTCACGTCTTTAGCAACATGTCCTTAGGATTGCGGTCACATTCAGGCTCTCGTGTAATGTAGTAGCAGATATACTCACTTGCAAAACTATAAGAATTAAAACATAAAATCTGTTTCCCTGAATTGTTAGTCTGTATATTTTTTCCGTCTTCTTGCAATGAAACATAATGAACACCCTAACAGTGATTTCAGTATTTGAATGCTGGCACTTTGAACAGTAAACTGAGTACTCAAGTTCCCATGCATTACTCGGATTTCTTTCAGAATCGACATTCCAATGGCTTTGATCTAACTACACCATACGCACAAGCTGTACTTGAAGGATTCCACAGCTTTTCCTCAGTAACAAGCTGAGTGCCTTCCAACCTAAGCGTCCCATCTTCTGGCATGATCGACAATCAATCTGTTATGTACATCCATGGGGTTTTCTTGGTAAAGAACAGAGGTACTATTGTCTTCTTCTCCTTTCACCTCTGTGATCATCTGCTGATGACATCACTCTTTATTGCTGTTGCCCAGCGTAGGTGGTAGGTTTAGTTTGGCACCTTTGCTAAGACCTTTTTTGCCATGACAGACCCTAAAAGGTGTTGAAAGTACATGCAAACCTCCATACAACTACTACAGTCAGAAACCTGCTCATTCTCAGAGCAATCCCAAACTGAACTGCAGAGGTTGTTCGGATGAGGTTTGCTGATTTAGCAATGCTAAATTAGCACAGCAGTAGACTATGCTTGGTTTGGTTGTAAGCATTCCTTAAAGACAACCAAAGACATAGAAATGATCCATTTCTAAACTGTCCTTCATGTACTGACAACATGAAAACTAAAGCTTTCTCTGGAATTTAATTTTCGTTGGGTTGTGTTGCAACCACATATTTTGATTTGGTTTTACCCAATATATATAATCACTGCTACTTTTCATTTTTGTATTAAAAAACTGCATGTAATACATGAAGGTTGAACCTACAGTGTGTGCTTTTTTATACTTTTTAAATAACAATACAAAATATTCTCTCATTTAAATATTCAAATACTATTCATTTAAAAATGGCAATATTCAAACAGCAACCCATTCCTAGCACACACTGACCTCATTGTAGTCCAGGGAAGAGTCATTACACATGGAGCAGATAGTCGCCAGTTCGAGAAGGCCATCGTAGTCTCCGCACTGTACAGGTTTAATGCCTTTCAGCCTGAAAGGACAGAAACAGCAACACAATGTCAAAGCCCAAGCAAAAGCCCAGACAGACCAATTAGTTTTAATAGAAGAAGATGACAAAGAGCAGTGGGACCCTAGCTGGCTTCTCTTAACATGCTGGTGTTTAAAGGATCAAGAAATAGGCGTGTGTGTGTGTGTGTGTGCTCTTACACTTGTCCTTCTGGAGCATAGGTTGAGCCAGTGATGTTGAACTCATGGAGGGAACAGCTGGAGCTGTCTGCCTTATCCACCACAAACATCTGGTGTGAGAGACACAGAGAGTGAGCACAATACATTAGGACAAACAATGATAATATCTTTCTATAATGCTCAGATTTTATTAAAACATTCATCAATCAAAAGGTTAAAATACAGTGTTTCCCACACATAATTGAGAGCCCCCACCCAAGTATATTTCGTTCCATTTTAGCAATATATAATTTCCATTTTGTTCCATTGTAAAATTTTATATATATATATATATATAATATATATATATATATATATATACCGTATACCGTGGCAATTAAAAAAAAAAGTTAATTTATTGATTTATTTTATGCATTTATATATTGATTTCTATTTTATGTTGTGTGATATCCAAAATAATACCACCATTATTGTACCTAACAGATGAGACTGTTCTAGAAATGTAGCTGTGCTGGTTAAAACATGCTTGATACTGCAAGCAGATATCACGTCTGCAGAAAAAACTTGTTAGGTTTCAGACTAAGAAGCAACTTCAGTCTTAGAAAAATATGTCTCGGCTCTCATTCATCAGGTAAAATAGGTCATTTCAAATGGCCTTCGGTGAAATGACTTTGGTGAAATTACTTCAGAGAAGAAGGCAAAAGGCTAAGCAAAGTGGCCACAAACTGTCGAATGGTAAAGTTTGCGTGACATTCGCAATAACTTTCTTTCTGAATAGACAAATTAGAGTTTCATGGCCAAATTAAAGATCGCAATATCCTATTAATACAACTTTAACTGAACTGCGCACTCTGATGTCCTTTTATTTGACTAAGATTAAGGCCTCATCCATATGTATCCAGAAAACAGATGTGTTAGGAAACCTGCTCCAGGGCAAAACAGCTTTTTGAAAATGCTGATATCCCATTGTCACCTTGTGCATGTTTTCAGCTCTTTCCATTTATTGAGTTAAAAAAACAAGTGAATTTGGCCTTACGTTTTCATTAAACCCTAACGTGGATGCATTAATATGTTCTGTGCTCAGTTCTTGTAAATGGGGTGTCACCTCGACTGCAAATAAAAAAAAAGCCTCAGATATTCTAAATATATTTGACTTGATGGTTATTAGCTAAACAGGGGGGCAACCTTGTGACCGGAAGGTCGCCGGTTGGATCACCAGAGCCGACAGTACGTGACTGAAGTGTCCTCGAGCAAGGCACCTAACACCCAACTGCTCCCCGGGTGCCGTGGATAGGGCTGCCCACCGCTCTGGGCAAGTGTGCTCACTGCCCCCTAGTATGTGTGTTCACTAGTGTGTATGTGGTGTTTTACTGCACATATGGATCAAAACGCAAAGATAAAATTTCCTCGTTGTGGGACTTATAAGGTCACTTAACAAATGATTCGAAATAAGTCCTAACTACATAATTCAAATGCATGGATGTTTCAGAAACAGTCATTTCAATGTAAACAACATCACGACAAGCGGTATGATTTCTTATATTTCCAAGCAAA